ATATAAAATTATTTCCAGAGTTCTTGCGAGCTATCTTCTAAGGTCCAGTCTCTGACAGTGGGCAAGCTCAGCGCTTCGCTTTTGACAGACAAGGAGTTCACCAACTCACAGTGGAACTTGCGGATGTGTCTGTACAGGTCCCCCGACTGCGTGAACCTGCGCTCGCACCACTTGCACGCGTGCGGCTTCTCGCGGGTGTGCACCACGGCGTGGCGGCTCAGGTTGTGCGAGTACTGGAAGCTCTTGCCGCACTGGGTGCAGGTGTAGGGCTTCTCGCCCGAGTGGGTCCTCTCGTGGCGCTTGAGCGTGTACATGCAGGAGAAGGTCTTGCCGCACAGCGAGCAGGTGGGCACGTTGACGTCGGCGGCCGGCTTGCTGCGGATGCCGTCCTGCTCGCGGAAGTGCGTGCTCAGGTGGATCTGCAGGATGTGCGGGCTGGGGAAGACCTTGTTGCACAGCGGGCACATGAAGATCTGGCCGGCTGGGCTCAGGATGTTGGAGACGTAGGGCAGCAGGCTGCTCTCCATGCCGCCCTCCACCGGCCCGCGCTCGCTCTCCGGGGTCAGCATCTCGTCGTCGCTGGCTTTGTCCTCCCGCTCGAGCTCCCGCAGGACCGAGTCCTCCCTCAGCGGAGCCAGGTGGGCCGGCTCGTACTGCACCCTGGGAGGAGCGCCCACACTCTCTTTCCCCGCGCTATGCTCCATGTCATAGTCATTAGTGCCAACATCGCTCTCATCACAGGAGGCCTCTTTCTCCACCTTCACCTGCACCAGGTTGCTTCTCAGCACGTCCTGTGAAGAGAAATAAGAGCTGTTCAGATTCTCAACGCCCGAAAGGCTGGACTTGACAGACAGGTCCAGCACGCAGTCAACATCTGCCGCATCCCTCACGGAGGTGACAGACCTCTGGGACAAAGACTCGGTGGAGCTGCAGGGGCTGGCTACTGTTTTTCCAGCTGCTGTGGCGTGCGGCTCGGCCTCCCCGCCCGCCTGGGGGATGCCTGCTGAGTCCGAGGGCAAGCGCATCCACATGGTCCCGGGCTCGCCGGCCAAGTCCCTTTTGCTGGGCAGGATGTTCAGTTTCTCCTCTTCGCCCTCCTCTTCGTCGCTGGGCAGGTCGCCAGCCATGTGGCTGCTGCCCTCGGAGAGGCTCTCGACTTTGTCCGAGCAGCTCGAGGCGTCTTCCTCCTTCTTGGTGCTGTCGGCCTCGGTGGTGGCTTTCTCTTTCAGCTTCTTCTTGCAGACTTTGACAATGTCATACATGTGGAGATAGCTGGCAGCTGCGAGCACGTCTTCAATGGGCAAGTCTTTGAACTGGAGTTTCCCTTCATACATGAATTCAAGCAGGAGAGCGAAGGCCGGGGCGGTAACAATGTCGCTGTTCAGATGAACAATGTCCCTTTTGTCCAGCTGGTCCTTGTAGAAGAGGTGGAAGTACATGCTGCACGAAGCCAGCACGGCGCGGTGCGCGCGGAACTGGGCATCTCCCACCAGCACCGTGCAGTCACAAAGGAAGCCCTGGTGCCTCTGCTCGCTCAGACACTGCAGCAAATGTCTGCTGTGGTCTGGGAACTCCATGCTGTCTTCATAACCTGCGGAGAGAGACATTTCTCGTGAGAGCCACTTCACAACTTGCCACGCCAGTCCCCACACAAAAAATCATCCTTGGGCTTGGCAGCCGGGGCACATGTCCCTGAATTTTAATCAGGCGTCTGACCCAAACACGACCAAATCACATGCACGCCACCCAAATGCGGGGAGAAAAGGCACGCTTTCCACACGGCCGCACCCCAGCCCCACAGTCTGCAATGCACCCCACCTTCCTTGAACTTTCAGTCAAGTTTTCAAAGCCTTGGTTTCAGGACCGTCCCTTACTGAGAAGAAGGACTGAGATCCCTCTCAGAAGCATTTAGTGAACGCTACTCACCAAATTAAGTCCCACAAAACCTACAAAATAGCTTGAATTTCAAAGGGAACAACTCATAATGAACAAAGAGAAGTCCCAGCACACTCTGGAAGATTCGGGAAACTTGTTTGACCATCCTTTTTATTACTTTTGATACCTGATTGTGCTTACAAAGCACAATTTAAACATACACATTCGGTTGAATAATAATTAAAAAAAAAAACCATCATGAAATCGCATAATTAGTCCAGGAATTAGCAAACAACTTTCTTTTAAAGTCAGAGTGTTATAACAACAAAAGCCCTGCGTGTAAAAACAGATGTGAATGCCCAAGATTTCAGGTACAGCGCACACGTACGAGGCAGGAGGAGCTGCGCCAACAGATGGGAAAGATCATCTTTACTACGAACCCATCCAAATATTTTTTTAATGAATTGAGAAAAATGGTTATTATTTCTTTGGAAAATCTGTACCTCTAGAGACTTGGGAGCCAGCAGGGCTTTATTTAACTCTGAAAAAAATCTTATCTAAACTTTGATCCTTTGCAAAAGCAAGATGAGTTCCATATTCAAATTAATTCAAACTTTTAAATAAAGGCATATTATGTTCGAATGAGATTCAAAAGCTTTACAGGTTCAACATAAAAAAAAAGCCTTACTAGAAAAAGAGAAACTATTTTTTTCCCTGACTCTGCCTTACCTCTGTCAACAGAAAATACTTTGTTTCAACATAACTTGATATATTTTGCTTTCCCACTAGCTTCTATTCTTTCAAATACGCATTGTTGCCCTGGTTTTCTGGTGAAGGGGGGATGAAAGGGAGGGAGAGGCAAGGCGAAGCTGTACAATGGGTCAAAATTCAACTCCTTAAAACCAAAGAAAACCCCACTTCCCCTTTCCTGTGCCAGAAGCAGGGTTCCACCCACCCACCCCAGAAAGCACGTTTGGAGAATGGGCACACAGTCATTTCATATTTAGAAATTCCTTCCCTGCTTTTTCTACACTTTGCCCAAGGTGGACTGAAACTTTCATCCTAACCCCAAAACCAGTCTGCTAGATGCCACCGCGGAACACACCAAGATGTACAATACAATCACTCCGAGTGCCCCACAGCGCACATCAATCCTAATCCCTGAGAGGGCTAAAAATAAAGATTGGAGGGCAGCTCACAAGGTAGCCGTGATCAAATTAGGAGGCTGAGAGGACAGAGAGGGCCGAAGAAGGAAGCTTATAAACATCTGATCCAGCTGACGGTGGCCATATGGCAGCTGCTGCCCAGATAAAGAGATTAAGAACAGAGGAGTGCGATTACAGCTGTCTGGCCAATTCAGGCAGCTCAACCCTACAAGTTCTAAATTAGTCGCTAACACAAAAACTCCTGCAAATAATTATTGTTATGCTGAAATAAAAGATCTCTTAAATATATATTGGAAAGAGAAATGAGGAAGCCAGTCAAACTATTCTCCTGAGGACAAAAGTTTTCTTGTGTTGTTTTTTTTTTTCCTTTTTAAAAAACCTTCGGTTTCAAAAGCACCACACAGCTGTATGTTTCAGCAGTGCTGCCGAATGTTTTTGAAGAATAAAGTTTCACAGTGGAATTAATTACACAACAACCAAGCTTCTCAACTAGAATAATCTTCTCATGTAAGTTTGAATGTGGATTCCAGAGTTTACCGTTTCTCCCCGACCCCAAAAGCAAAAGGAATCTAAACAGCAGTGAAAAACAACAATATAAAGCATTTTAATCCAAAGTGATCTCAAAAAGCAGTACGTCAAAGCTTTTCTTAACATTTCAAAACTTGAAATATTTCTGTGTATTAAAGTTCTTTACTTGCTCTCCAGCAAAAGGGATAAAAATTAAAACTACCCAAGCCCCCAAGACTTTCAACTCCAATAAGATGTTCATTTAATACTCCATTTCATACATTATTCCTAAACTGGGTTAGAAAAGTAATGTGATTTTTTAAAAATTAAATAAACAAAACACCAAAACACAAATATGCTCCATCTAATCTCTTGCTACTCCTACCTTTAGGACACATAAACCTGATTAAGTCCTTTCCTCTGAGGCTTGCTGGCTCCAGGTCTGTTACATCGGTGGAAAAAAAGCAGACTAAGAGAGACAGATGCAAAGTGGAGATGATGTTAGAGAGGAATGAGATACCTTCTCCACCACAGATCCGCACACACTGGCTCCCTGTCTGTGTGTTAGAATAAAAGGCTGAGGGATGGCAGGCTGTCAGCTGCTCTGACATCATGTTCAGATGGAAATGCTACCTCCAGCTGTGCTCCTTTTAATGCCATATGCTACTCCTCTACACTCCTGCCACCAGCTTTTTCTTAGGAGAACTTTTCTCTTCTGTTAGTATAAACAAAATACTTCAAAGTCTCCCCTTTTTCTCCCCCAAACTTTCTAACAGCAGAAATTGAAAAACTCAGCATATGGAGTTCTACTGTATTTATGGACTAGCAACACTTCTGTCTGGGGCTGGCGGACGGCTCCCTGACGGACAGCACCCTCAGGCCACCCGGCTATGCAGGAAACCGGACTTTTATTTGTCCCTCCCCAACCTTTCCTTCCCAAGGCAGCTTAAGGACATTTTTAAACCAACCCCGTGCACATCTCCAGCCCCATTTCAACATTATTACTACGGCCCCTTTTCTTTCTTTTTTTTTTTTTTCTCCTGCTGAGATAATGGGACACACGTCTCAGGATATTGAGAGACTATCCACAACCATGACCCCAGCCCGGTTCACTGTAAGATTTCACTTATTTAGCTACTGAGCTACAGTGACCTTCTCAGGAGCATTTCTCACACTCGTCAGTTAAATGCAAATTTCAGTTTTCAGTATCAACAAACTGAAAGCGCCCTTTCTGAAATCCTGGAAAGTGCTTCAGTTCAGCGAGACACACCAGTCAAGCCGGCCAACCTGCTCCAGGCCCTTAACATGAGCGCTGCACCTGCGCATGGGCTCCGACCCCCCGGACACAAAAAAGCAGAACTTCGCCTCCCCCTCAATCTGGGTCCCATAACAACCTTTGTCTTTCTTTTTTGGGGGGGTCACTCTGAAATGTTTGTGATCACAAGAACACCTTTCAAAGGAGAGTGCGTGGGGGGTTGAGGGGGGGCAGGTCTAGGAAGTTTGGGAACTTGCGGGCCACACTTCGTGGGCCTGTCCGCAGGGCTGATGAAATCGGAACGCAATCCGGGCCGGGCAGGCCGGTGCCCCGCAAGGTGCTGCGACATCTGCGAATGTCAAGTTCATCCC